GATTTGTTTTGATGTGTGTTATCAAGAAAAAGACTAGACTTTTGTTTAAGACAAATCTATTGATATACACTCATGATACTAATCATTATAAATGGCCAGTTCCCCAAAAAATTACAATTGTGTTATCATTTACTCACCTTCATGTCGCTCCAAACATGTATGACTTCCTATATCCTGTGGAACACACAAAAAAAAGATATTTTGAAGAATGACTTTTGTATATACTATGAAAGTCAATGGGGTCCAATATTGTTTTGCTCCAAAAGGGAACAAAGGCCCCAAAAGGTTTTCCAAAGAACCATTTTTTTTTCTTAGTGTGAAGAACATTTTCAAAATCTAAAGAACCTTTTTCCTCTATAAAAACCCTTTTGTTCAGTGGAAAGGTTCCATGGATGTTAAAGGTTCTTCATGGAACCAAAGATGTCAATAAAGAACCTCTATTTTTAGGAGTGTACTGACTTTCATTGTACAGACAAAAACAGTTAAAACATTCTTCAAAATATCTTCTTTTGTGTTCCTCAGAAGAAAGAACATCATGGGGGTGAGTAAATGGTGATAGAACTTTTAACATTTGGTTCTCACAAGTGACCCAAAGCCCTCTTTCCTTTGTTTTTTGCTTAGGGTGGGCAATGAAGACCACCACATTGTGTCAAGGAGCACAACAAATGAATCGAATCTTGGCCGGAAACGCCAAGTCATATTTTCCGAAACGCACCCACCTACACGCGCGCGCGCGCACACACACACACACACACACACAAGCCCATCATGCAGACAAAATCAACCACAACTCCAAACACACTTACTTTCCAGAGTCATGAACTCACATCTGTTTCCTGGCGACAATAATAGTTACACATCGGTTAGGGGGGTATAGTAGCAGGTGTTCAATTGCCTGAGCAGCTCTGTACATTATAACAAAAGCTCCTCCACAACAAACCCGCCACTATGACTCGCAAAAGCTACCAAAAGGAAAGATGAAGTAATTGTGCTCATTAGTTGACTAACACAATTGTAGCTCATGAAAACTTAGTGGCTGGTACTAAAACGACACTGACATTAGAGTCGTGCGTGTGCATGACAAAGACACGACACTGCCTGAAGAAAAAATAGGGTTACGGGTTCTTCTAGCTGTGGATTCATTTATATACCTCAATGTGAATACACTGAAGAGGTCTGATAAAACGTAAAAAGTTTCAGGTGAAAATTTAAATCATCCTGAAACTGCATTTAAACCTAGGTATGCATAATACTGCTTACAGGAAACTAATATCAAAACCAGCTAAATGAGTACAGTTAGTTTTTAGTTAGTTCAGTAATCTCTTTTGATTTAATTGGTAAAAGTCCCAGACTGTAGATATGCCCTTGTGAAAAAGAACTGTGCTTAATTCTATTAATGGGGTCATATGATGCTGCTAAAAAGAACATTATATTGTGTATTTGGTGTAATGAAATGTGTTTATGCAGTTTAAGGTAAAAAAAAAAAAAAACATTATTTTCCACATACTGTACATTATTGTTTCTCCTCTATGCCCTGCCTTTCTGAAACGCATCGATTTTTACAAAGCTCATCGGTCTGAAAAACGAGGTGTGCTCTGATTGGCCAGCTATCCAGTGCATTGTGATTGGCTGCATACCTCAGGCGTGTGGCGGAAATGTTACGCCCCTACCATACTGTGATGTTGTGTACCGGCGCGATGAGACAACAGCAGCCTTCTTTCTTTGCGTGAACATTTGGGCGATGTTATGCAAATCTTTCCACACAGTGACGTAGACGTGTTTAAACGAGGCATTTTAGGAGGGCGTGGACAAGTCTTAACTTTTATAAAGAATATCTCTTTGGATTTGAGACTTTAGTCTTTGCAACTTTAGGGATCTTATCTATTCACTAACAGCTTGTAACACTCCAAAGAGAAAGGAAAATTTGAAATGGCATCATATGACCCCTTTAAATGTGCACCTGTAATATACTTCAAATCTTAAAAGTATATTTTTAAAAAACTGAACTTTAAGAGAATATAAAATTTATGATAAAAAAGGTCATTTAAATATAGTTAAAGAGAGTACACTTCATGACTGATTCTTAACACACTTAAGGGCACTTTAAAAAAATCGAACGAAACGTTTTACTTTTTACTTAATCTTTTTTTGCCGTTCTTTAAATGAGTGCACTTATTTTGATGTATTGACTAACATACTAAAGCACATGTAAAGTACTTGATTGTAACTAGTGTATTTGATATTACGTTTAAAGTTAACATATTTTAAACATATAAATTGCGTTTTAGTAAGTAATTATGAAATGACATGTAAAAAGGGAGAGTTCACCCAAAAATGAACATTCTGTCATCGGTTCTGTATTCAGCCTCCACTTGATGTACAATTGATATACAGTCCAGTGTCTGATAATATTTGATGTAGTTTGCATTTCAGTATATTATTTTAAAGTGTATTGTTACAATAATAAGCATTCTTTTTAAAAGTATGCTCAAGTGTCCTTTTTCACAAGAGTGTGGTTTCTAAACAATAATTAAATGTTTTGGGCAAGTAAGCAGCGAAAGCCTTAAACGTGACAGTGCAGCTTTCTGTTGCAGGTGAGCATCAACCCGACCACACAGTGAACTGTATAAACATCCGGTGGTGAATGACAGCCTTAGGTGCTGTTGGGTAGTAGTGTGAGTGGTTAAGGTATAGCTGGTGTTTTAAGCTAACCACACAGCATGAGCAGCTCTTAGTTTCAAATACACTCAGCATCACTAAACTGTATCCACCCACACACATTTAGAGTAGCATGCGGGAATTAACTGTACTTGCAGTGGCTTTTGCAGCAAATTTAAAGCAAACAGGCTGGATATGAGAGATTGAACTCAATTCGCGATGACTTTGTATAGTGTTGTTCCTAGGTTTGCTTCTGGTCAAATCTATCAGAGCATTTCAGTGCAGCAAAACCACAGATATATTGGTACAGAAAGATCAGTGAAGCAGAAAAAGAGATAACCATGCTTGGTAGAAACACTTTAAAAGGTCTACACTGAGGACACATACATTCTTTCCATTCACTAGTACACTGTGAGCTTAATTAAAAGTTTTAGCAGAATTTAATGGCATGAGAAACTTGAGGGACAAAACCTTTATTTATACATTTTTTAAAAAAGCATATTCATCAGCAGTCAAGGGAAACGTACAAAATGTTTTCACAAAAACCCTCAAATTCACTCATAAATACAAGATAATAAATAAGATTAATAAATAAGGTAAACACATGTAAATCACTATCTTTGTTAAAAAACAAACAAACAAAAAACAATCCATGCTATAAACTATAAGTCAAGTCAAATGACTGATTGTCCTTTCAGGCTCAGGCTTCGCAACCCAGAGATGATTTCTGTAATGTTCACAAACATTAAAATGCTCTTACACAACAATAGAAATGACTTTTATTAGTGCTGTCAAACGATTAATCGTGAATAATCGCATCCAAAACAAACGTTTTTGTTTACATAATATGTTTGTGTGCCGTGTATATTTATTATGTATATATAAATACACACTCCAGTATATATTTTGAAAATATTTACATGTACATATTTATATATTATATATAAATATTTAATATACAAATATAACATATTTTTCTTAAATATATACGTGCATGTGTGTGTATTTAAATATACATAATAAACACAGTACACACACAAATATCATGTAAACAAAAACTTTAATTTTTGATGCGATTAATCATGATTAATCATTTGACAGCACTAATTTTTATACGATTTTTATATATAGTGGCAAAACCAGAAAGGTTCCTGATGTCAGTGATTCACTGGGACGATGTGAAAATGAACAAATCCATTTATAAATCTGAAATCTAAGCTTTTTAAAAGGAATATTCATGGTTCAAGATGAGTTAAGCTAAATCAACAGAACATAATGTTGATTTCCACAAAAAAAAAAAAACAACAACAACAAAAAACAAGTTGAAATAGCTTTAAAGTTGGCATTACATAATCCATTAAATGCATGTTATGGATATAATCGTGAATTAATCCTATTAAAAAAGAACTATTTTTTTCATTTTCGATCTGTTACACTTGGATGTGCATCACAATTCATAAAATATCTGTCACTACTTACATTTCATTACTTTAAAAAAAAGCAAAAATCTGGGTTACTTACAATGGAGCCAATGGTAAAATACTCACTGTTTCAATATTAAAGCCACAAGACGTAAACTATGCATGTTAACATGATTTTTAGTTTGGGGGAAAAAAAAAAAATGCTTACTAAGTTACAGTGGTGGCCAAAATTATTAGAACACTAGTATTTTCACCAGCTAAAAAATGGTTTAAAATCAGTTATTTCTATCTTTTGCTGTAGTGTGTCAGTAGGAAATATCAGTTTCCAAACATTCATTTTGCCATTAATTGTAATAAAGATTTTTGTTCGCACAAGGAGTCTGACAACAGCCAGTTCTTCACACAGAGATCTGATCTCATCATCATCCAGTCTGTCTGGAATGACATGAAGAAACAGAACAAACTGAGACGGACTAAATCCAGAAGAACTGTGGCAAAGTCTCCAAGATGCTTCAAGAAAATATTAGTGTTCTAATCATTTTGGCTACCACTGTATTTAGGGTACACTTAATTTCACAAATTCATGGCAATAAAGTGACATGACATGTGGCCAAGTATGGTTACCCATACTAGGAATTGGTGCTCTGCATTTAACCCATCCTTAGTGCACACACACAGCAGTGAACACACACACTGTGAACACACACCCGGAGCAGTGGGCAGCCATTTATGCTGCGGCGCCCGGGGAGCAGTTGGGGGTTCGGTGCCTTGCTCAAGGGCACCTCAGTCATGGTATTGAAGGTGGGAGAGAGCGCTGTACATTCACTCCCCCCACCTACAATCCCTGCCGGTACGAGACTCGAACCCGCAACCTTTGGGTTACGAGTCCGACTCTCTAACCATTAGGCCACGACTTCCCCTTCTCAATATTCTCAATATTACTCCATAAACCATGAAAGACTGTAGAATGAGTGCTTTTATAAAATTATTAGCTTCACATTTTTACTTTTAAATCCAAAAATTGGCCCCATTTTTCTCCTACTGTCTGCCTCACCATTACCTTGAATTTGACTTTTATTTATTTATTTTGTTTAAATGTCAAAAATTATTTTTTGTGGTCACCATTAACATTACACCGCAGGTTTATTGAGCATAATGTGTATTGAACCCAGAATATTCCTTAAATGATGTGTTGCCTTGTCTAGCAAAGAAAGCCTTTCGTTCCTGTTTCAGTGTGACTTATAGATCCTTAACAAACACTTTAGTTAAAGGGAAACCCAACCAACCCTTCTCTGGCTCTTCATAATCATCCTCCTCCTCCTCCTCTCCAGTAGTCCCTGCAGTCTCGCCCTGCAGACGATAACCCAGCCTCCTGAAGAAAGCTTCTCCCACTTTGGATGGAAATGGCACATGGGCATAGACCCGCTGTATGCCACTCTGCTTTGTTCTGGACTCCAGTCCCTGCACCAGCAGTCTGCCCAGCCCCTCCCTGCGGTACCAACTCTGGACCATCAGCCTGCAGATCCTACATACACCGTCCCGACTCCAACCGTCTCTAGCCACGCATCCCATAATCTCCCCATCAGAGTCCGCCACCCACACCTCACCAGCAACCTTTGCCCTCTCCTTCAGCTCATCCTCATCCACCTGTTCTCTCTCATTCATCTTGTCCTTCTCCTTTTCTTTGGGTTTTTTACGCCGCCTGGTTTTCTCCAGTTTGGCTCTGCCAGCGTGAGGATTGGGTAGATCTGGCTCTGTGTCTGCATGGTAACTGCTGCCCACGTAGTCCCAGTATGGCCTGCTGGAGCCCAAGATGCCCACCGACCGCGGTATGGTGAGTTTGAAGTAGATGATGAAGATGAAGACGGGAACGACCAAGGCCAAGATAAAAGAGTGCAGTACACAGCGGAGGATGGAGGAGAGGATAGCCAGCATGAGGAGAGCGAGAGGACGAGTCAGAAGGTAAAGAATCAGGCGGTTCTCCGTTCCCTCACATCCTTCCTGCAAACAAAGATAGAATGAGAGGAGGCCATAAAGGGGAAAAAAATCCTCAACAAACTTCTTCAATGTTGGCACGTATAATATACCTCACTGACCTCTCCATGGTGTACCTCCTAATTATTTCTATCTGCCAAGTTCTTTGATATTGCTAGATAACATTATCTCCATGTATGGCATTTTTGCGGTGATAGTGGCCTGAAGCCTATATATATATATATACACACACACACACACACAGTGCTGGATAGTAATGGTTTACATGTAATCTGGATTATATAATCAGATTCCAAAAATGTTGTAGTTGTAATTAGAGTATATTACATTTTAAAATGCTTGTAATCAGATTATAGTTACTTTTTATGGATTACATGATTACATACTATTCACACAATGGCAGTACATTTTTATAATTTATTGATTCTGGAAGTCTGGACAAAAATATTTCAAGCCTGGAAGACTTTGGGTGTGCCGTTGTTGTTTTCATATTTATTCATGTGTTTCATGCAGGGATTCCCAAACGTTTTTGTCACCCCCTTAAAATAAAATATTTGTTGAAATATCGCAGAGGTAGTTAATATTTCAATAATTAAACAACACATTTGCATGTTTACATTTCTCTGATGTCAGTTAATGGTCACACTGACATGCAGGTAAACAAATACTATATTTATATTTAAGTGTTCAAGTATTTATGTTCAAGTGTTTAAATTGCTTTTATTTTACATTTTTATGATAGGATTAATTATTAGGTTTTTATCAACTTACTATTTACTCTCTATCAACTCACTAACGTAATGTTTAATGCATTTTATGATGTTGTTGACATCAAAACATGGAATATATTTGCTTTTAGTGTTTCTCTTTGCTTTTTTTTAAATCAACATGGTACGTTTAAAACAAGTTTGATAAAAAAAAAAGTAATCTAAATGTCATCTAAAAAAGTAGCCCGATTACATTACCTAAAATGAGTAACCTAGATTACGTTACTAACTAGTTTTCATCATGTAATCTGTAATTGACTAGCCTACAATTTGTAAGTAACCTACCCAGCTCTCTGTGTGTGTGTGTATAGCTCATGAGGGATATGATGTTGAATTGCACCTTGATGAGAGCCTTTACAGCATCAATGTCCTTCTCCTGCATCCTGCGCAGAAGTACATCACCAAAGTCCAATCTAACCATCTTACCTGAAAGAGACATTATCAAAAAAAAGGTTCAATTAAAAATATAAACATTTAATTAACATAGGGAAACCTGAATTTACTCAATTAGATGTTTTAATTAGATTTTTATTTTTCACTGCAGAGAATGTAATTGCAAAAAACAGGAAATTCTCTGTGGAGTACATGCAAATAAGGACAAGTTTAACGTGATAGACTTGTGGTTTTATGTACGATTGCCTCATGAGCTTATTCAGAGGCGTCATGCCCATACAAAGTGCACGTGCCCCCTCAGATTTCTGAGCCAAGTGGATTTTGAATGCAGCTTTCAAAAGACAAAAAATAGCTGAATAATATATATTTTTTTGTATATTTGATACAATCACACCATGTGTGATTAGATCGTTCAGTGCGGCACAGCATCAGCTGCTAAATTCAAATCTGTGTTCGCTGGCTGGCGCTGAGCCAGAGACAGACGCATTTGTACAGCGCTGCATTATAACCAATCACACACGATGCTGTTGAGCTTATGAATGCAATGACCAATCAGAGAAGTTCAGATGAGTCATCGCTGAAACGCGGTGTTTCGTTCACTTGCTGGCTGACTGAATTCTCTGGCGAATTCTCTCATCAGAAACAACAAAGTGCAGATGTGCATACGAATGTAAGATATTCAGTTCACAGTGTAAACAGCTTCAGTGATTTAAATGGGAGTTTTTGAGAGTGGCCGAACTCTGGCTAGACTGAACGAAAACGTTCTTTGATTATGTAAATGTTCTTTGCTCTCTGTAAAATGAAAGTGTTACAATTAGTAACTTACAATATTGTTATTAAGTCAGTCGTATTAAAAAATATTTTACGGCATGACACCCATATCTGGTACTTAAGACGGGTTTTTATGTGTAGTTAATAGATTACACTAGTCTACTTTGCCCATCACCCATTATAGATCAAATAACAATCTATAAAGGTGCAAAAAGCATTTACTTATACATATTTGAGAATCTAGATATTTCCCGATTGGAAATATTTCGAATGAAAAGGAAAAAAATTAATAAATAAAACATAAGCCTATATCAGGTATACAGTCATATCGTGGCTGCTGTATGTCACATGACAAGCATGAGGACCGTGCCCCCTCAAAAATCATGAGTGCATGACGCCCCTTAGTTTATTATATTGCATTACATCTCAAACATTTATGAAAGAACAACTTATGGCTTGTCTACGTCTTTCCGACTGAGCAGCGCTGTTCAAGAGGCATTTAACAGGTTTATAGTAGCATGCTGTACCGTTAGCTTGCTCCGTCACCACGCTTTATTTAATCCCTTATATGGTAAACACCACCTTCTTTATAGCTTAATCTATGGCTGTAATATATAGAGCATGCGTGACCTACTTACCCAATATTCAGAGAAGCCGTCAGTGCTTTAAAAGCAACGTAATGCAAAAATGCCCTCCTCTGTAGTCGATGTTACTTGCAGTGTTTGAGGGACTTAAGGATTCAGCGTTGTCTTCCCGCATGGAATGTAATTTCAACCAATTCTCATCCGGGAATACGACACTACGCAAACTGCGTAGTCTAGATGCGCACATAGCGGTTTGCTCTTTCAACGCTACAGCGCATGCGTCTTGTATGAATTTGACGCATATATGTGTGCCTTTACACATATGTGACCCTGGACCACAAAACCAGTCATAAGTAGCACATGTATATTTGTAGCAATAGCCAACAATACATTGTATGGGTCAAAATTATTGATTTTACTTTTATGCCAAAAATGATTAGGATATTACGTAAAGATCATGTTCCATGAAGATATATTGTAAATTTCTTACCGTAAATATATCAAAACTTAATTTTTGATTAGTAATATGCATTGCTAAGAACTTCATTTGGACAACTTTAAAGGCGATTTTCTCAATATTTAGATTTTTTTTGCACACTCAGATTCCAGATTTTCAAACAGTTGTATCTCGGCCAAATATTGTCCTATCCTAACTAACCATACATCAATGGAAAGCTTATTTATTCAGCTTCAGATTAGTAAATTATGTATAAATCTCAATTTCAAAAAAATTTACCCTTATGTTATGACTGGTTTTGTGGTCCAGGGTCACATATGTGCGCGTTAAATCTATATTTTAAGAAAAAAGTCTTAAATATAGCAGAGCTTATCTCTGTCTGTAAAATGATTTGCAGCAATTTCAAATGGAAGTATTAACTCTATCAATGAAATCTTAACAAAAATGTACCTACATATGAAGTAAAATGAATATATTTTTAAGCTCTAAGAAATAAGTAAAAAAGCAAACACAAATACTGACATTCATATCTATTTTTATTGGTAATTGTCATCTAGTACCAATATTAAGAATGAAAACGGAGTAGACATATTTACAAAAGTTAACTTTGTACAGTCACTGTCAACATGACAGCATAGCTGAATATAGTTCATATTTCATATTAGTTTATAAATTATATTTTCAGTGCACCCTGGTTGTGGAAGAGCACCAGGGATTTCCTTCATTTAGAAACCACTGCTTTTTGGCTGGGCTGTATTCGATGATTGTGGTTTGTGAAATAGCTCCCCGTAGGGGCCAGGTGAACAACTGTAACTACAAGCAATATGCTTTATCCACACAAAGTGCAGTCTTGGGGGTGGGAGGACAACAGCTTAGGAAGAAGACACTGTGGTGTTCTAAGGATATCTGTGTGTGGAGCAAACAGGTCTAATGATTTATGTAAGATTCAACATAGGTCCTGTGTTGGTCCTATAGCTACAATGTTGTTCTCAGCTTCCTAATATCTAAAAACATTAATCACAGTCCAAAAGGAACACTTTAGAATAACAGAACCATTACTTAACAAATGTGCCATTTTGCATTTGAAACCGTGTCATGAGGTGTGATTTGTGTTAAAGCCAGTCCGATTGACTATTATAGTGCTCCATTCTTAACCCTAAGTTCCAATCAGTCCCATCTCTGACGATGATATGCTCTAAGCCTCAACACGTTTTGACTCTTCTGACAGTACTTCCTCTCATGCCTCTTGCGCATCATTACCATGTTTTTCCTCAGTTCCTTCCGCTAAAGTATGTCCTACATCTGCTGCCTCTATTCCACCCTCTCTCAAACTGCTGGTGCTAACTTCAATTATAACAATGCCTTCTCCCCCCTCTAACTGGAAGATTCCCTCCATTTGCCCAGAGTTTGCCCCAACAGCACCTTTAAAACTGCCCCTTGCCCCAGAACCATTGCCCTCACCTTCTATCAGTGCAATCATTTGAACACTGTCCCCTGGGCCCATGCTTCCATCCATTTTTGTCTCATCATCGAGCTCAAATACCACATCCTGCCCTTCCAGAGGCACTAAGGCTTGACCCGGATGGCAAGAAAGGTTGAGATCCTCACCTGGGCCTCCTATGAAGCCTGAGTTTGGCTGAATGTCCTCCTCACTCTGAGGCTCTGTTTGGAAATGAAGCACAAAGGACTTTTCTACTTCAACACTTCCCTCAGCATCTGCAGTTCCATGCCCCTCACTCTGTCCAGTCCACTCTTGGAGTAAGTTAAGAGAGACAATTTCTGTCTTCTCTTTTCCTGCATCTCCTTCGCATTCTCCCTCTGTCTGAAACCGGAGGACATATGACTTCTCTCCTCCCTCACTATTCCCTCCCTCTTCTTGCTGGCCCTCACCTTCAATCTGCAATACATAAGACCGCCCTGCATCATTCCCTCCCTCCATCTCCACCTTCACATCCATCCCATCCCCCTGTCCTCCATTCTCCATTTCTTTCTTTAGGCACAGAACGAAGTGCTCCCTTGAGATTTCTTCGACAGCTTTCTCTTCGAGTGGAACACTCTCAGGATCCCTGCTCAACATGGGGGAACTTTTTGTTAGAGTGGAGTTTGGCGTCACTGACATAATGCTAACTGCAGGAAACAAAGAGCTTCCAGGTACTTGGCTAATGCTGACAGGTGACACAGTCGGTGTATCATCAGCATTAAGCCATGGGAACTCTGTCTTTGAAGAAGCAGCAGAAGTGGCACTAGATATTGTGGTAGATGTGGAAGTTGCACCTGATAACATTAACTGTTTCTTAACTAGTGTGGTCTGAACTGTAGGGGGGAATTTTTGGTTAGCAGCTTTAGGCTTCCGTCCACGCCTGGTTCCTCCTTTCCGGCTACGACCGAGGCTGCCTAAAATGGGACGAGCAATCGTCGATGTGCTTTGAGGCTGGGCAGTAATGAGGGGAGCATTATTATTGGTCAAAATAAATCTCTGCTGTGTCTGAACTGGTTGAAATTGCTGGATTTGAGTTTGAGGTGCTGCCAGAACCTGGGACATTGCCGGAATGGTCTGCACCAAGGGGAGGGTCTGTGGTTCTGAAGGGGTGGGAAGAGTGTTTGTACTGGATGCTGTGGGAACCAGAATAAGACTAGGCTGGTTTCCATTGTTGGACTGGCACTGAAGAAGCAGGAAATTTTGTGTCTGTGGAGGTGGTGGTGGGGGAGGAGGGGCAGGCTGTGTTGGCGTGGGATTGGATAGTGGGATCAGTTGCAACCCTGAAGTCGTCTGGATCATAAAATAATTCTGGGATGTGTTTGGAGGTATGTCAAGATTTGGGGGTGAAAGAATCAATGTGGAATTGCCATCAGTGGGAAACAAGGAGGTAAGCCCTCCAGGTACATTCAAGTTTAAATTTAGCACTGCTGTCTCTGAAGCCCCACTACCTTTAGCCACCTTTCCTGCTTCCTTCGTACATGCTACTGCACCCCCAGAACTGTGAGTTCTCAAGTGCCTCTGCAGGTAGGAGAGCATGACAAACTCTTTTCCGCAGTGTTGGCACTTGAAGTCCTTGCGCGAGGAGTGTGTGCGTAGGTGCAGCTGCAGATTGGATGAGTGGGTGAAGCTCTTGTGGCACTGGGAGCACTGAAAGGGCCTTTCTCCAGAGTGTGTCCGTTCGTGCTGTTTAAGGTTAGAGGTTTGGGAGAAAGCCTTACCACACACAGAGCAAGCGTGTGGACGTAAGCCAGAATGGAGCTGACTGTGGCGACGGAGACAGCTGGTGTTCTTGAAAGACTTGCCACATTCCTGACATACATATGGCCGCTCACCGGTGTGCTGGCGAAGATGGTATTGGTAGTGTGAGCTCCACTTAAAGGTCAGTGGACAGTAGGGGCACTGAAAAGCCCGCACACCTGTGTGGACCTAGATGGGTTGAGAACAGTTTTCAAGATGTTTTTAGAGCTAATTTAGAAAACATGAACAAAATGAAGGATTAAAATGTTAAAATTTCAAATATTAGAATTCTGTCATTCATAAACAAAGCTGCTCAGGCCATTCTCCATGCATAAAAGCACCATAAAAGCATAATAAATGTATTATTAGTGTATTGTTACAAATCATGCGCGACATTGCGAGATACAAACTGAAATACAAGTCAATGGTAAGCTTTCCTTTAGTGTGTTGTTAACTGCTGTGACCAAATCAGAGCCAGTGAGCTGAACATATGAACTGGATCAACCCATAAATATTATGAAAAAAACATAAAATACCAATAAAAAATTCTACCATTAAATTAATACATTACATCATTGATGAAATAATGCAATGAATCCGTTTTTTAATCCTGCTGTTATGCAAAAAGAAATCAAAACATGTCAATTTGACAAGAAGATTTATTTACCCTTTGGTGTATGGAGAGCAGTGAGGACCTTTTGAAGCTCTTGCCACACTCTGTGCATCGATACGGTCTCTCCCCAGTGTGGTCTCTCATGTGGTACCTAAGTCCTGATGAACCTTTGAATGACTTCCCACATTCAGAGCAGCGATATGGCCTCTCTGTAGGGAATGAAAACAGAAATTCAGCTGTGAGATGAATATGAGTTACACTGTGTGTGCAAATGTCTCATGTATCAAATGGGTGTTTATTATACCATGTAAGGTAATGTACGGTCTTGAAAATAAATAGCATAGTATAATAGGATAGTATAATAAATAAGAATAATGAAACCTTACAATCAGAGATGCCAGATTTTGAACAAACCAAACTAATCATTTTGCATCCACTGCAGACTCTTACCGTTATTTGTGGCAGATGTCTTGCTGCCGCCACCTCTCCTAGCTCCCTTTCCTGATGCTTTGACAGATGGCTTTACAGTTCGTCTCTCTCCCTCCTCAGTAACAGCAATTAGACTGACATGGATCTCTCTCTCTCCATCTTCTCCATCTCTCTTTAAGGAGGGCAGGGGCAGTGAGAGAGAGGGGCAGACGATCTCTGCTTCTGCCTCTGCCTCAGCAAGCAGCCTCTGCTCAGGAGTGTGGGAGTGCTGGTGGTTAAGCAGAGAGGAGAGCAGAGGGAAGGAGCGATCACATGCCGAGCAGTTGAACTGAGAACGCGACTCGGATAGAGCAAGAGGATGGGCCTTAAAAAGAAAGAGACAATGAGAAATGGAGGTTTGGTTCTTAAAATTCTCTGTCCACCAAAACAGTTTCTTGGTCTCACCTGAGCCACAT